TTCAAAACATCGAGACTTTACAAGTTTCCATTTTGACTAATACTTTTCTTCAAGATTTTGTAAAAGGTCGTTCACGATAGTTTGAGACATGTCATGTTAATAGGTCGCAAATTGTAACACAATTGGATAAAAAGTGATGCTTATTGAAATAGTTTAGTTCAAAAGTTTGATGATCCGCCGTCAAGGTAATCAGGATCGACGTGTGAAGAGGTCATTTGTTATACACCCTACAAGCTATAAAAGCAGTAAGATTGACATAATTTCATAAATAGCCTTATTAATTTTGCCACACTAAACATCGATATATATATATATATATATATATATATATATATATATATATATATATATATATATATATATATATATATATATATATATATACTCTTTCATTCAGCCTTGTTTTAGTTGTGCAAATGAGAGCTTAAAATTGCGATTATATTCAGCATAAGTGACTACAAAGCGATGGTCCTGTTATCTCATAAATTACTACTTGAAAACAGATAACGTATTTCGTATCAGGGTCTCACATTATCCGTTTATGTTTTAGATACAGTGTTCATAATATCCGACTAATAACCTGTATTCGACATGGATTACCGTAATCGGAATGAATTATTGTAATCCCTGATTTCAGCGGTGTAGTACATGTAGTCATTAAAAACAAAATACATTATAAAGTAACAAGCCTTCTCAATTTAGGTCAGTGACAGAAATAATAGTCATTTAATACCATTCATTCATAGGAAAATCAAAATTATGTTTTGTCCTTGTGAGCAGTGTAAAGAAGAAAACATATATCATAACATACATTATGTAATAAATAAAATGCAAAAAGTTTTTCTCTTAAATTTTCATATCAATTTAGCAATATGCCTGACATTCCCCAAATCCATTCATGTCTGTCTGTATGTACCCATTACGGTGTTTTTAAGTAAATAAAACGAGTTGCTGGAAAATAAAGAAACTAATATGGAAAAGTTTCCAATATGACTTCAATCTAACACCTTTCGAATATCGGTTTGCCCGGGATGACAAAAAAGCACGATGTATTTTCGCATTATGTATAAAAATAAGAATTATCAAAAATTTTATAAAATGACTTTTTTTCCATTTTGATTGACTTAGTAATCTGTATCAAAAAAAAACTGTGCAGGTCACCTTGAACCGGGTATCCAAATAACCGGCCTGATCGATCGTCAGAGAAGATATGGAGTGGGATCTTTAAGGAGTTGGTACCGGAATTCCAGGGAGGACTGGAAGACAGACGTCGTTATTTTCGTGCACAGTGTTGCAGTCAGGGAGGTCCCAGATCAGCTGATACAAGTCCTTTTAGACATCATCAGGCCAAGGAACACACTGTGTCCAGTCGGTAAGAGCATTACACATTGTAAAAGGAAATTAAAGTGAAAGTGCTTATTTAACTTATCGCATGCATAATTTAAAAAAACATATAAACATATTTAAGAACGTGATAAGGAACGTATATACCGATACATAAATTGTTTATACTACTTAGAAAAATTTTGATGTGGTTCACGGGTCTTAGAAGAAATGTTGTGGCTAGAGGACACAGGGCAAACGGAACAACTCTCCAAAGTGTGAACATTACCTTGAATTGACATGGTCATTCTATGAATAAGAATTATTTTATATAATATTTTAACATCTGCCTAATTTTTATTAATGTAATTATTTCAAAACAATTCCGCATAGAAAGTATCTAAAGAGCCGTAAAGATACAGAACTATTTTATTCATTGATGTAAATAGTGTGAAATAGCTAGGATTATATTTATAGAGATATAATATATATTTAATGTAAATATATTAATATATTAATATATAATATATATTTAATGTAAATATTGAATGTATGATTGACAAGGCATTTCAAAAGTCAATTCATGCTAGTGATAGAAAACAATGTTGGAGTCCATACTCATCATCTGAGTTATTAATGCGCCCCTAGTATTGCCCATAAAAAACGATCCATATTGTTTGTGAAGGGGAAGGACTTAAAACATGAAGACCCTTCTCCTTTCAATTCGTCGTCGTAGCTAGGGAATGATCTCCCTCGATGTAATTACCTAGTATTACGGATAGATAGAACATTAAAGGTAGCTAAGCAAAGTATTGAAATAAATAAAAACAATGAGCCCCTTTTCAATGACTAAAATAAAAACTTATAATCAAAGAAACAATCAATTCTCCTACAGCCGATTTACTAAATTGCGTATTCAATTAAAGCATAGCCAAGCTCACTTCTATTCAACTAATGGTCTATGACAGAATTCAATACATCATATAAATATCATCATGTACTCGAGTGGTGGATTTGAGTCCAATCTTGTGCCTTCGACAGCATCAACTGATACTTGTCTTCACACAACTTGTTTTCAACGTCTAACCAATTGCTTAGTCCTCCTTAACCCTCACTGTTCTCACATCCCGAAGATGCAGCTTTCCTCTTTGACACATTGAGTTCCCTCCGTATTTATCCTTCTCTCTCCTCTCGTTCGGAGTACGAATTATGAAGGTTGAACACGAACTATGAAGCTGTACCCTTAAATATAATGTCTCACGCTAGACAAATACCACTACACATTTACGTGTAAATTTATTACTATATTTATCTTGCTCATTCTTAGGTGGATATACTATATAATTCTAATTTCTCGTGAAATTACTCAATACTCCTTACTGATTCTGTATTGCGGTATGTTTACCGCTAAGTTGATATACATGACCCTAACTCACGTTCATGAAGTTTTAATGCAAGTCCTTAATTCCCACGTGCCTCTACAGACAAATGTGGCCGTATATGCCAGCATGCATTACAACACACTCATTTACACTTGGATATTCAATGCAGTTTACGCCCAAATATTTATATTTAACTAAATTTAATTATTCTAAAGTAACTTTAGTGAGCAACTAAATATTACGATCTCACATATACATAAATATACCCGTCATTACTCACAAGGGTAAATATCATCCCACACAGAGATTTAATTCATATATCCTAAGAAATATCACATATTCGTATACTAGGGTGAATTCATGAAATCCCTACGCAACCCTACATATCAAATATTTAATTACATGCAAATCGTCAATTCTCTCAATGAATTGATAATTAAAAAAATTAAAGCATTAACTGGTCGAACTAACATATAGTTAGTCCTATGAATGAATACACGAATACATGCGTGAAGCATAATATAACATATCTGCTAAGAATCAAACAAATGAAATAGCATATTAAAATTGAAACTAAAATTGCGTACCTTACTGTCGTTTCTTTTCCAAACAAACAGTTCTAGCCTAGTCTGTCTTCTCTCTAAGACAACTATCTGGCTTCGTGGTAATTTCATGAGGCCACTACAGTGCGTCACCGAGTTGACTTTATCTTCTCTCAAGAAAAATCTAACTGAAGGATTTTCCAAGAGATAGTTCTTAAATCGTTTCTCATGGTATACTCCCTTAAGTTTCCCTTGCCAATCAGAAATAGCTGTTCCTAAAATGTCCCCTCCAAATCATATGTCTAGTCTCTTTCGTCTGATTTGCTGGCCTAAAATATTTCACAATAAGCGTCCTTTGAAAAAATCTATTATTCGATGCGTGCCCCTTGTACCACAGGAAATAATCGGGTCATATCCAACGGAGGCTTAATGTAATTCCTTATACGTTTGGAGATGAAATAAAGAAATTACATTGAACTTCCACCACACGTTTCTGCTTCAATTGTGTTAATTTGAAAGCAGAATTTATTTAACCATTAGTTTCAACACGTTTGAAAATTCGACACATTAGATTGTTGAATCAGTTTAAATGATGCTTAAAAAGCTGGCTACATTCTTTGCAATATATATTTGGATTTATTGTATTGATTTATATAATTTGATTAGCTACTTAAAAATGAAATTCATGATATAAATTTGAATGCTGTATTGTTTGTTGTATAGAACAGTGTATTTATGAGTTAGCAAGAGTTGACTATGTACTAAAGAAATGCATCCAATGACAAATGCAGTACTTAGAATCCAACATAAGCACAAACGTATTGGCTTAAAACAATGTACTTCGATTTAAAGAAAATAATAAACATGATAATTTTAACAACAATAAAACTCAGCGATCCGTATGTTTGTGGATCTTCTGCCAAAAGAAATCGTCAAAAATAGCTCCCATTGTTTCATAACATCTAACATTTATTTAAGCATCATACTTTCCAGATGTGGAACTTTATGTGGTACTTACAAAAATGGACAAAGTGGAGTCTGGCGAGGTAATAGAAGAAAGTGTCAATGACATCGAAGATTTATTTGGCTTTCACGGTTTCATGGAACACAGGCTTTTTAAACTGACAAATTGGTGCGACGATGTTGGGTTTCCAGGATTCACTGCCGATAATCTCGACAGGTCAGACGAAGGAAGTGTAGCCTTGAAAAATCAGTTGCTGAAGCTTCTTCTCAATATATCCACTCCAAGAACAGTGTTTGGACTAAGACACGATATCACTTTCATTCAAAACATTTGGTTTCAACTCTATGGCTACCGTACAATGATTATCAGAATGTTTCACATTCAGCCATTCGGCCCAAGAGATATTCTCTATTTGGCCTTATTTGGTTTGCTCATCGTTGTCTTTCTCTTAATTTTGCGATGAAACCAACTCAGTTACGTTGATACAATCATCGCGTGCAAAATATGACTGATTCTGTGTCTCGTGCAAGCGTGAAGTTCTTTTTCAATATTGACAAGACCGATTATTGTAGTTTTCTAATTACGGTCGGGTTGTAATTCATTGTGATAGATAATAGTCATTAGCAGATCTCCATCTGCAGTATCATGTATTTTAGCACGAATTGTTTAGCCATATAGGTTCCAATGTAGTTTTCATTCATTGTAGAAAAACTACAGAAATACTTTCAGCAGTATGTCACGAGTGCCAAGCGAGGCAGCTATTAGTACCATTTTTGTAAGTCTTTGGTATGACTCGGCCGGGGATAGAATCCATGCTCTTCCGCATCCGAGGCGGACGCTCTAATAACTAGGCCACCGGAAGAGTCATTTTTGAAGTATAAATTTAAATATAATGAAATTAAAATTTATGACAGAAAAAATTCTCAGAATGTAAAATTAGCCATTTCTCCCATCACAAAAGATTTTATGCTAGCAAATCTTTCGAATGAGGTAATGCAGCTAGGTAACCTTTGTGATTGTCCATATCTGTTTTTTTTTCTTCTCGATGACATTTTGAGATGGTGAATTGTATGCAGTGCTGCATTAAGGGACAAGGGGAACGTGAGACGCCCTACCCCCACCCACGCTTCATATAACCTCGCTCAGGTTGAGACATATACCTGTCTAAACCGTCTAATACTTAGATTGATATAACTATACAAATTATACGACATGTAACTGACGGTTTAGAAACTGATTTCAAGGTGTATTTGTGTATACATATGTACATTGAATATTTACTGTATACACACACACAGACACACACACACACACACATATATATATATATATATATATATATATATATATATATATATATATATATATATATATATATATATATATATATATATATATATATATATATATATATATATAAACTGCGACTGTAAACTGCAGATTAGCATTTAAAATTAAATATTATAGGGATAAGAGAATAAACAGAATCTTCATCTCTGAAATTTACTCTCTCTCTCTCTCTCTCTCTCTCTCTCTCTCTCTCTCTCTCTCTCTCTCTCTCTCTCTCTCTCTCGTAAATAAGCAAGACAGTGACAGTATGGTTTGAGGTGCAATTATCTGCAATTTGCTGATACGTTACGAGTCTTTACTGATTCAAAATGCAGGAGTTTCACTTAGCTCTAATGTAATAAACATGTTAGTAATAGATTGATAACATTTTAAATGAGAATATATAAAGAAATTAGGACCTTAAACCTTGCTTGTGAGCGGCTACCCAATTTTGCCACCGTACGGTAGCGGTAAATCACATCCACAACATGTCCAAATCACAATGGGGTGGGAAGGGTATGCGGAAACATAATATATAAAATTGTGTAATAGATCTAACTGAATACAATTTGATACATTTAGTTTGTTTTGTGATTCTTTTAAGCCAGCTGTCTTCATCTGACTATGAAGATAATATTAATCGAATATATTTAAAATAAGAAGCCAGCCTATACATGCCGTAAAGTGTCATAACCTTCTGTTGCTAGGGTAAGGAGAGTAGTTAATTGTACGAAATTGACATGTCACTGGGACATCTGTTATGAAGCATTGTTTAATGCCAACTTTCTTGATGCTAACTTGGAACGTGTTTGATGCTACATTATAATCATGATTTTAGAAGGTGCAATCTGTATAACTTGTTGTATAGGAAGTTTATAAATAGAATATTAAAGTTTGAAATGACTGACAGCATTTGCCAGACGACAAATTACAGAATTATTTCAGTAGCTGGCAATGTGCAAGATACAATGACGCAGAAGGTGTGTGTGTGTGTGTGTGTGTGTGTGTGTGTGTGTGTGTGTGTGTGTGTGATTTGGATTTTTTAACGTAACTTTAAAAAATTTTCAGTCATATCGCTACGATGTTTGCAGTGTGGCAGTTGATAGTGATGTCTAGCACTGGGGCATCATGCCGCAGACATGTAGCATGATGTCCCACCCAGTCACAATATCATGTTACCAGGCCAACCAGTTTTAATGCTAACCTCTTAATGTTGAGTGCCAAGCGAGGCAGCTGTTAGTACCATCTTTTTAAGTTTTTGGTATAACTCGGCTGGGGATCAAATGTTTCGCATGATTTGGCCAGAGATCACACCCACGACCTCACGCATCTGAGGCAGACGCGCTAACCACTAGACAGCCAGTAAAGCCAGTGTATATATCCTAGCTTTTGCTGACTGGTCGCGGATCATTCCAGATTCAACTCCTGTACTTGGCTGGTGTAGACATATTCCTTCATGTTTTTCATATGTTGCATCCTAGAATAACTTGTCTTCCATTCAAAATTATAAATAGCGACCTAAATAATTTGTTAAGTCATTAATATTCGTATTGAATGTCACCTTCTCTCTCGTTACGTTATATATCGCCACATGGCATTCAAAGGGACAATAACTGCTAATAAACTTACCATGTGGCAGCCTGGCATTTCACACCATATAAATTATAGTTCATTTCTTTCTTTTTAAACGTATTACATGCAGATTAATGGTATATTCTTAAGGGACTATTTCACGTCACTAATCGATTTATAACACAGTCTGGCTTCAGTTAATGCAATTAAAATAGGCCCCAGCATGATGTACTATTAATCTCTACCTTGACTGTTGTCAGAAACATGCACACATACGGTCAACATTGACTGCCCTCCTTGTTTCTTTTCATACGAATGCACCTATTAGTAGGTTAAGAGAATTCACATCTCATTCATGCAAACAAATTTAACTTGTGGTAACAACAATATTTGCTAACAATTTATCGGCATAAAGATCGCTAATACATAAGGCAATCAATTCCTAGTCCACATGATTCATATTACATATAAACAAATAAGTTCAAATAATTATATCGAGATTCTTATCAAAGAAATAAATTATGAAATTGTAAGAATACATGAGTCATATAACATTCAATACAAATTAATTCAAATAATTATCTTCAGAATCCCATCAAGAATATAATGCATGAAACTAAGGTACGGTAACTTGCTCTCTTCCGAATCATCTCTCAAGATTTCCAATACGAGTCCTACGGAGTTGTTTTTTAAATAAAAAAATTACTTTCTACTTTCATTGGAGTCACGAACTCAGATAGATTACTAATTTTAAAACGTAGAACGTTTATAAAGCACGAAATTTCGCCTGAGAAACACGTTTGGCTTTATTTATCCACCAAAACTATCAACCGTTCATCCAGGGTTGGGAAAATCACATATTTCCTTGCAACTTTTCAACTTATGACAATATTATTCAGCAAGTAGAAGCGCTATTTCAGCAACATTTCGACCCTAGGCATTTTTCATACTTAGAACAAAACTCGCGTCATTTGATCAATTTGCCTAACTCGTTAAAAAAAAATCAATCATCTCCACACCATGGACTCAACACAACACCACACAAAAACATTCATCATTATTAATTTTCTATGTGTCACGCTTACTCTGAAACGTTCACTCAACGCATCGCCATAACATGTACAAAATTCACAGTTACAGTCCTGGTGATTTTCTTTCAGCATCCCATCTGTTGTATGAATATTGAACATAACCAGTTTTATTTTTGAAAGAGCAAATTAAAGTCAGATGCTCTAAAGTGATGCTAGCCTTGATGGAACCCCTTTTATTCTGACGGGATATATTCATGTATTTAAAGAGCATGGGTATTATGTGTTGAGCGAATACAACGATTCAAACGTGTATTGTGATTTCAAAGGATATTGCACATTGGTAACAATCAAATGTTAGACATTGTAGCTATTTTCAAGTGTTTAGGTACATCAACAAACAAAGCTTTTATTATTGGTCAGACCATATAAACACTTAAATTTGGAGTGGATGATGTGTCAAGTGCTTGTTGTGCAGCGTTATTCCTCTACATATATAAACCAGTATATCATATAAGTATATTTCCGACTTTCTTTCAACTTATCATTGCACCCTGCTTGGAAAAAGGAAATCATAAAGATTTAGTTTAGCTCATTTAAAACTTAAAACTATTCTCCAGAATCTTGTTTTTAATTTCATTATCGAGGACTCGGTATAATGACTCAGATGGTATTATTAGGATATCAATTTTGAGAAGAAAAAAATAACATCGAAGTTGTTTTAGACTATGTTGAAACTACTAGGTATTGAGAGAAAGTTCCGCTAAGGTGTATCGGATTAACCTGTCCAATCGTCTTATTGTATATCTACCTTTATAAATCGCTAGCCCTGGTTCAAAAGTTCATAGCACAGATGAACAATAAACGATTTGCTCGCCTTGTTTTCGACTGTCACAATATTAATCAGCCTAACGGTCGGGTCTCGCTTTCTTTTCAACTATTACAAAATTAATCTGCAAAACGGTCGGGTTCAAAAGTCCATGATACGAGTAGAACAAAAGTGATTTACCAGAAATAGCGTCTTTACAATAATTAACTCAAGTTGTAATCAACATATGACTAAAAGGTCATCCATTCTGGAGACTAGCCTTTATTAGAATAGACCTCTCTTACTTGGGACAAGGACACATGTGATAAGTCAATGTGCCACGTAATTTCGGGATATAAATAAGCCAAGCCTATGTGAAGTTTTTAGCTTGTCAGTTCCAGATCAGAGAGTGTCTGTCTATATTTTACAGGCAATGTTCCCTCTAAACTGAGCGAATGAGCGATCGCTCACTAATTTTCGAGACGTCGCTCACATTTTTCGGACCGTCGCTCACAAAAATTCCCGACCAGAAAAAATAATGGCTCTATATAAATTACTCTCACACCTGTCAATTTTAAGTTAAGCCACATCCGGCGACTTCCGCCACGTCTATATCGCTCTTGGTTCGGCAAATTCTTTTGAGTTCTATATTTCAAACTCAAAGTAGTGTAGTTCAGCGCTAAAATTAATTATTTTCTAACCATGTTTAAACGAGAAGCGGAAGAAAGTTCATGTAAGTCAGCGAAAAAACGTTGCATGAAATTTAAAACGGAGTGGTTAACCGAATGTTCTGTGGTAACGGACTTACCACATGGGACCGGACAACACGTGCTCCTTGGTGAAGTTTTTGAATACTCAGAGACAGATGACATGGTATTCTGCAAATTTTGCGTTAAAGCGCGATGTACTAATGAATGGACAACAGGAAAATCATGGAGCGACTGGAAAGTGGATCATTTTAAAAGACATTTGACGCAGAAATATCATACCGAAGCGATCACAAAGCTTAGAAACCAAAGTAGAGGACTGCTGAAAACCATACTAACGGAATCTGTACAAGAACGCGAAATTAGAAAAGAATTCGCTCAAAGAAAGCAGGCAACTCCTGATGAGGTAAAGGTTTTAATAG